AGCCTTCGGGAGACTGGGGGCGAAGCGAAACATGGCTAGACATTCAAGATGCCGTCCAGCACCAGTCAGCCAATGGAGCCCCCGAGATTTGGCTAAGTCCACTGGACTTTGGGTGTTCGGCCGGTAAAGTTGTGAGTAGCCTACTTCACGCATGTTGTGCTTTTGCGGTGGAGTAGGGCATGTGGGTTATATAGCCAAGTGCCTAACGGTTTAACCACCTAGGTTGGCCGAACATCCTACGCCGATCGATCTGAACCACCGTCTCTTTCCCACGGTTCGTAGCCTTTCCTGGGTTCCATGCTGGGCCGGCGGGGCAGGAAAACGGTTTCGTTCCGCGTCTTGTTCCGCAGAAAATGGGAACAGACATCGGCTGGAAGCAGGCAACACAACCTGCGTCGCACTTACATGCTCAGAATGTTGCCCCACATGTTCAGGAGGGTTCCTCTCGAGTGGGGGTTCCTGTCTTCCAGGGGGCACCCCCGGGGGTATTTTTGTCGGGGGTCAAAATTCATTAGGGCTCATCATTGGGGCGCAGGGGCGCCCACCAAGGACCTGCAAGCAGCCCGCCGCCCCAGCGATCCGGTGGCGGTCAAGGACGCACAAGGGCATGCGTTGCGAGTGGGGGTTTGGGAGTTCAATGGGCTGAATGCAGAGGATTCCCTTGCAAAGCAGCTAGTTTTGGATGTGGCTGTGGCTCAAATGAATGTACCAACATGGCGCCTTGGTAAATGCAACCAAAGACTAAAACCAGCGGTATGCTCTAGCTCTTGAATTTTGAGCCACACCAATGTATCCTTTAACCTGGGTCACTAATCGATTGGATCGGACCATTTGGAGTCCCTTTTTGCCACCCATGTTCAGATCTTCCGAGCCATTTCCCCCTTTTGGAAATCCAAAAGTGGCACTGTCACTGGAACCCACCCGTAAATTGCAACTCCTGAGGTGGAAATCTAGTGGAGTCATAGCAACCCCAAAAGGGGCACGTTCTTTTAAAGATACTTTTTATTTCTGGGTTCCTCTTTGGGCAACTGAGTTATTGTTGCCGGGGTCATGCCCTAACGAGCCAACAAGCGTGTTGGGTGATATGGGAAACCGCTCCTTTTGGGTTCGTTTTATCTATGTTTCCCTTGTTTCCTCCTTCAGGAGTTCCTCCACGTCCCTTGTTGGAACCACCAACAGTGGCAGTTTCAAATGAAACCACAAGTAAACAATGAGCAACTTTTGAAGGGGAAATCCAGTGATTCTTGTCCTTGTTTCCTCCTGGTTTCCTTTTGGCGACCTTCCCGTTTCTCCAACCCACTCACTCGAGAAGTCTGCGTGGTGGCGAATCCGGAGCCAAGGCAGTGGTCCTTTGGACCAGTCTAGAAATTATTCAGAGAACTTCTTACCCTTACCCCAGTGGATTGTGGGTTCCTATTTTTAGTCATGGCAAGCCACAAGGTGATCACCTTGTACTCCCGAGTTCTGCGGTTGCAAGTGGATCAAAATAAGAAATACTGTGGATGGACGAAATCCTGCACCACTTTGAAACCATGTCAACCAGTGTTTGCTGGTAAAAAAAAACAGGGGAATCATCATTCCAGTGCTTCTTGGGTGGTGCAGGAATTCGTCCATCCACAGTATGGTCATGCTGTTTATCGTACAGTTTTTGAGCGAGGGAAAAAGCGAAATCCAATGTACAAATGTAGGTCCTCTACTTGGGGATGCCTTCTTTCAGATTTGGTGGTCTGGATTGGTGGTTCCCTAGTGCGTTTCTTGGGAAAGGACCCCCCCTCCAAACCGCCAAACCAAACCACCCTTTGTCGTGAAATGCAATGAGCTCACCAAACATATTTTGGACACCCCCCTGTTCATCCAGGGGTTCTGCTTTATCCGGACTTTCAATTACACGCGAAAAGTGAGCATTACACAGGACCCACAAATTTGTGATTACACAGGACCCACAAATTTGTGGTTTTCCTTTTAGCTTCCATTTGAACACCACCAACAAGAGGTACCCACGAAAAAAGACACACCCAACTAAATCTTACCAACTCCTCTTCTTGAAAACTTCCAGTTGCTTAAGACTGCTATATATATGTATATATACATGTCCATGTTGCTTTTAAAGGGAAACAATTTCACTATTGGACATGTTTGCTCTAATCTTTTCCGGGAGGCAAAAACAGCGAAGGGAAGCATGGGTGTGCCGTCTGTTTTGGGTGGTTAGGTGATTGGGTGATGAGTCGCATGAAAAACGCAAATGGAGGGAACGAATGGGCAATCAAACCCTAGAACTATTGGACACATTTTCTCATGTTTGTTCAAGGGGTCTGAAGAGAATGGGCGTGGCTCCAAAAATGTGCCAAAAGGGCATGTAACCAAAGACTAACGAGACTAAAGCCTGCGTAGCCCTAGCTATTTAATACGCATGAACAACGCAACTTGAGGAGAATAATCGGGCATCAAACTCTAGACCTATTGGAAATGTTTGCTTTTCAAGGGGTCTGAAGCAGATGGAGGGAGAAGTTTGAAGCAACTGTTTGGGCCAGGTGGTGGCCCTACTGAAGCGACAGGGCGAGGCTTGGCCCTGGCCAGGGCTTGCGGGGAATGACTGGCGGTGGGGGTTGGCCCTTCGGGCTCTGGTTACTTCCATTTGTTCAAGAATATTTGCTGGTGCCGGGTTTTGGTTGTGGGTTTAAATCCCTGCGGGTTTTAAAAGGAATCGATCACTACTGGACACATTTTTTCCTTTTGCGGGGGGCAAATGGAAGATTAGGTGGCGGTTGACCACGCGCTTTCTAGTTGAAAGGGCGCTGGGGCCCTATGTTGTTCGGAGGTGCTTTTTGGTTTTGCCTGAAGAAGGGGTCACGTCCTTGGTGTGCGTATGTATGCAGCGTTGTTTGGTTGGTTCTGTGTTTGCTAGCATCAGGAATCCTTTAGTTGGTGGTTTAGATTGGTGGTGTGGGGATTTGACCTCCTCGTTGTTGCAGAGGATAAATGGAAAAAAACAACACTCCAAACTGCAACTCCTAAGCGCAATTTTGGCTGGGAGCCGGGAAACAAATCCCCGGAACACCTGAACAGGCTGAGGGAAGCCGAGGTCAAAGGCTGATTCTCTAGGTCCATTTATCTGAACCCAGGGCCATTTTGGATATACGGGGCTGAGGATTTTCCTGCTGCGAACATGTCATTCACCCAGCCTTCGCACCCTCGAGGTGCCTGTGATTCTGGTGTGCTGTGATGCGCGCGTGGCCTCAGTGTGGAGATCACCAGCGACGGAGAGAAGTTGAGACCCCCCCCTCCAATCCCCAGAAGGATTCTACTAACGCTCAGGGACAACCCCCCTCATCCACCGGGGTTGATTAATTCGGGGTTCCCCTTCTGCCATTTGTTTAAGAATATTTGTTTTTTTCCCTGTTGGTTTTAAACGACGAAATCGATCACTACTGGAAATATTGTTTATTTGTTCCAGGGGGCTAAAGCAAGTGGAAGATATGGCTCACCCGCGCTGAACATGTAATCATATATTGTGACATGTATTTATACATGCATGTGGCATGTGTATGTATATGACTTTTCCGCAAATGGAAGTCTTGGGATATGTTTTCCGGGTACCGAGGGCCGGGGAGTTTGTGGTGCTGTCTCTCTACAACGCGGACCTCCAGAAGCTCGAGCAGGTGGGCCGACTTGTGCTTCGGTTTTTTGAGCGCACCTGTCCGGGGATAACACCATAGGAAGAAACGCCATGAAGGCGCTTTACTTATCCATTGCAATGTAAATCCGGTTTTGACATGATTCTGTAGGATTTGCAGAAAAGATGATCAAGTCACAAGGGGGCAAACTTGGTTTTTCCCGATTTTTCCTCGCCGATTCGACCCTCCAATTAAGGTGGAATCCAAGCGACCATGTTGTTTAGAGGAATCTCCTTTTGCGGGAGCCCCCCAGTTTTTGCTTGCCATGTCAATTGCAAGGCGGGGCAGAGCGTTGACCAACGATTTCCTCAAGTTTCCCGTTTGGCCCTTCCGATCGATCCCTAGGCCTGACAAATCCCGTGCAGGAACCGAGTTTTTTGTTGCGAAGGATTTCCCGCTAATCTCAGTTGCAACCAAAGCGATTCGACCGGATCTGACCTAAAAGGTTTTTCAGTTTCCGTTTTTAGTGGCCCGACCTTTTGGTTTTGTGAATTGTTGTCCACGTCTGGCCCCGAAATGTAATCACCTGTTCTATTTTCTAGAGGTCCCTACGGGGCAACTGAGTTTAAAGTCGACCAACGCATCGAACCCACCACGTGGCGGGCGGCTTTGGCCAAATGGGGCTAGCACACCCACCCAATGCATGTGAAAGGGGGTGCGGTTGTCATCTTCCATTGGTGGCTCCCGGCCATCCGGTTCCCGAGCTTCTCATTTTTTTTGTTTTTCCGGGTTCAGCGGAGATTCCATTTAACCCCTGCACCAAAAGCTTAAAGAAGTGAGCCGCGCACCCGAGGGCAGCCCGGTGAACCGGTTGGGTTTTAGAGGGGCTCTATCGCTACTGATGCTACTGGACACATTTGCACATTTTCCAGGCGACTTCAGCGAATGGCAGTCGCTGGAAATAATTAAACTCAGTTGTTCAGTGGCACCCTTTTGTCCCTTTTTTTGTGGCTGCCCCACTAAAAATGGTCCAAGCCCCAAAAAAGGAATTGGTTCCCTTTTTGTTCCAGGGTCACTGAAGAACTGAGTGCTCATCTTCCAAGCTTCAGGAAATGGAAGTCATGTCTGCCAGTTCATAAACCGAGTCGCGAGCGCACGTGGCGGCCCGTTTCGCGGAAAGCTCCAGTCACCTTCACTTGCTGGTTTCTGGTCATCCCCCTTAGGTTTTTAGGATTCAATTACCTTTGGAGTGGGCCCATTATTGTGGCTGTTTTCGGAGATGATCAAAGTTGGAAACCGGAATCGGTTGTTTCCCTTCAACCCACCACTGAACAGGGGTGACTGAACGGGGGCCAGTCTATGCGTCATTGGCAGGCCTTGGTGCCTATGAGGACGCTGCTGGCAGCAAGGGTGCCACAGGGAAAAGGGTAACTGGCGTGGGGGAAAGTCCAAGCCAAACGGGAGGGGGGGGAAGCACCAAACCGGACAGCACCCCCGGTTGCAAGTGAGTTGTTTTGTTATGTTCGCTTTGTTTGGTTTGAAAGGAAGACACCAAAACTCACTTGCAAGCACTTCTCGAATCGACGGGATCTGGCCTTTTTGGTGTGCCAATATCTAGATTTTTGTCGTGGCAACCCACAGGCCATCACCTTTTATTTCCGGGTACTCACGTGAGAAAAGGAAACCAACAACGTTGTTGGTGCCCGAAGTTTGAGTCCACCCCATATCCTTGTCAACTTGTTTTTCCTAGCAGCTGAAGTCTCTTGAACGGTTTCTGCCCTTGCTCCCGGCGCCGGAGCAGTTTGGAGCGGCCCCAGGCTCGGCTACCCCACCTGCCACCCACCAAACCGCCACTTCGAGGGAAGCTGAGCTTAGGTTGCCCTTTCGACGTTCCGAAGAGAAATTGCCCAGGCAGGTGACATGGCAGTTTTTGCCAGCTCTGGGTCCCTCCTCTCTCAAGTCTCCAGTAGCAAAGATAATCAAAGATGGCTTAGCTGGGGAATTTATAGACCAGGATCACCTACGTCAGGGGTAGTTTGTTGAGCTCTTAGCGACAAGAAGTTTATCGCTTTGTTTGAAGGACGCTGAAGCCCTTGAAGAACGCCTCTTTCCTTGCAAGTGGGCAACCCCTAAAACACATCAACTGACGTGGATTTGAGGCTCACCCGCCCAAACCGACGACCTTTTGACCTGTTTCCCCTTTGTGGATTCCTATGTTCGATCGAGGTACCAAAAGGTCATCGCCTTTTATTTCCGTGAGAGTCTTCAGATTCTTTTGAAGGTGACCACTTTTGGAGGAGCACACCCCGCCTCCCTGCTAATTGGGCGGGTGTAGCTGAGGTCAACAGTTTGCAATCCACCAGTTGCTTTTGTAGGTCCCATTCGGGGCAGCTGAGATTTGTTCGGGGCTCCCCCATTTGGAACGACCCAATTTACTTGCTGGTGCGATTGGCGGCATGTTGTTGAATGAACGCAGGAATGGTTCCCCTCAAAGGAAACCACCAGGTGAATTGTTTTGTTAGGTGTCATTCCATTTCCTAGGTCCCCAGTAGTGCCCTTTTACCCTTTCTGTAGGGGAGGTTTCCCCTACTAAAATAGACAAAACCGAACAAAAATCGGGTGCCAACTTATTCTAACCTCTCAAATCTGGAGGACCTAGTTTAGGCGTCCTTCCATGAATCTCTCGCACCGATCCCAAGTTTCAACGTGGCTCCTCTGCCCATTTGGAGCGATCCAGTTGCTGCTTTTTGTGTGCGATTCCCCCCAAAAACCAGCAACAGTGACGGGAGCAGCGATCGCAACTTGGCTATCTAGCTTCTTGTTGTCTCTTGTGAAGTGGTTTCTTCAACGGAAACCAAGCGGAAAGGAATCATTAGTACTTTGTGTCCCATATTTTGAGACTGGTTGTGTCTAGGCAGATCCATCCGGGTCGAAACGGTGAACCGGCGAACCGAGGTGAGCCAGGCGAGCTATCGCCAGATCTCGGTGACCGCGCCGCGTCAGCGCTGCCCTCAGGACGGATATCTGGGAGAAGGCGCCATCGCCATGTATTTTCTTCAAGGCATTGCAAGGAACCTGAAGGAACCCCAAAAAGAGTGTTAAGGAACCCTAGAAAACCTTAAGGAACCCAGGGAAAATTAAGGAACCCTAAGGCCCTAACAAACCCTGGGGAGCCCTAGCAAACCCTGACGAACCCTAAAAATCAGGAGGTACCCCTTGAGTTCCAATAAACCATTTGACGGTTTTGCTATGGATCGGGGTGGTGTTCCGAGGGTAATCCTTAATTGGGGTTTTCAGCTCCGAACATTGAGAGATGGTAGCATTGTCTAGCTACTCACTTGCCCAAAGCGAACCGACCATGTGACCTTTTGGTTTCCTCTTGTTTGTCCATTCTTAGTAAAGGTCCCAAAAGGCAATTCGATGTCCAAGTCGCTAAGGGGCAACTGGGACTAGGTGCTTCAGCTCGTGCGGTTGGATTTCCCAAGCAGAGGCTGTCCTCTGCTTTGGAAATTCACAGGTGTGGGGTCCACCGGAAGATGTTTCATGCAAGCCTTATACGCCCAGTTGCTCAAGACCATTTGTTATTTTCCCGGTTGGTTTTTGAGAGGGAATCTATCACTACTGGAAATGTTTTTTTGTCTAGCGGATTTAAGCAAATGGAAGTATGTATGACAGGTGGTTGGGATTTGGGATTTGGAGCTCTGTAGTTTCCCTTGAGCCAGGGCTTCAACTCCAAATCCAAACCAGCAAGGGTTTCCTGACCCTTCAAGTTGCCAGAAGTTGGCATGGCTCAGCCAAAAAAATGCCTCCCCACAACCAATTCACCACTGGGTACATGCAGGGGAGCCTACAGACCGAGGCTCAGCTACCCGTGCGCGTGCGCCTGAGTCACAAGCAATGAGCCAAGGGCTGACTGGCCTCTGGCGGTTCCTTGCTTTGCTTGTTTTTTTTTTTAAATGGTTTGGGTTCCTTGGTGTTTCTCACTCCCAGTACCTGGACTTGAGCCACTTTTTGGGAAGCCCATGGTAGTGGCAAGCCGAAAGCTCGCTGACGTTCTGTGGCCCAGCTGCTGAATCCCACGTGCCCCAACTCCTCACTCGAATCAGTTCGCCTCTTCACGAACACCCACCGGTCAAGGGCACTTGCAGGTAAGGTGGCTTGGAATTTGGGATGCTACATACCACCAATATATTTTTTACAGTATATTGAATGTTTCAATATAAGTGGTACTGCGGATGGACAAAATCCTGCACCACCTAAGAAACCCGGCCCGGGAAATGATGATTCCCTTTGCAGATGCACTGGTTTCCCATGTAATCAAAGTGGTGCGAAGTGGGATTTGTCCATCCCCAGTATGTTACCTCCATGCTTCCAAATCCCATAACTGATCCCCCCCCTAAAAAATGACTTTTGGGCCCTTTATGGGGAAGACTGGAAACATGGTGATTGGACCCTAAGGCAGGGAAAATGGGGGTTGATCAAAAGGTCCTTCACATACGGACTATTGATCAACCCCCAAATCAATCATACCCTCCCAACAACTAACGTGGAACCTGACGTTCGGGACCCGCCCCGGTTAAAAGGAAAATGGTCCAAACCAGGACCCCCCCCCCCCCTTTTACGCCAGGTTCCATGTTAATTGGTGGGAGGGTACCTGAAAATGCCATAATATCTGCCTATTTTCAGACGAGCTCACCACAAGAAGTTTGGACTTATTCTGGCCAGCAGTCACCGTTTCGACGCAAGGACCGGGAAAAAAGTTTTGGAATGATTTTCAGATGATATGCTGGCTACCGGTGCATCGATCGATTTCCCGAGGTCATCGTGGGGAACCCGGTGGACGTCTCCATCCTTTCGGGCGCCTCTCCAGGCTCGGTTTTTTGGCTCCGCTTCGCTTGGTGGGGGGAAGGCTTGCTGAGTCCTTCCATTTATGTGTGTGTGGCTCGTTTCTTTTGAGGCTCGGTACGGCTCGGTGCGCCTGCTTTGAAAAACACATTCACGGGGCTTCCCTCAAAAACAGATATACCCAATTGCAGGTGGTCATTCGCGGCGAATCGTCCGGTTCAGTTTGGGTGTTTTTGTGGTTTTTAGTTGGTTAGATGGTAGTTTCCATCTAACCCACAAGTTAAACTTGTTGCTGCAGTCTGAGGACAGCCCAGATTTGCAGGAATTTCTAGAGGACATCTTCCCTGTTGTTTGCAAGTGTTTGGGTTTGTTTGGTGTAGTTCTGTTTCATTTTGAGTAGGGGGCTGCAAAGAACACAGTTTGTTTGCTACCGTCCCAAGGGTTGTCAATAAATTTTGCCCAACCAATAATCCAACACAAGGATTTCCCGTAGAATTTCCAGTTGCTTCCTTAGGTTTCTTCCATTTGATGGAAAATACGTGTTTTTTTCTGATGAGCTTTAAAAGGTTTTTGTTTTCAGATAACTCAAGCAAGTGAAAGATTAAAGTAGCATTTGGGTACCGTTTCTGTGCGTGTTTTAAAGGAGCCTGTTTGTGTTTTTGCTTTGGAATCCATATGGCTTTGCAGTAGTTGGGTGTCTTATGATGGGCATATGATGTTCTGATGCTCAGACATTGAATGTAGTTGGGTGTCTTTGTTTTCAGGGCCTCTATTTTCGGATCGATGCTGGCCTAGGCGCAATTGCTTTCCTATAGCTTTTGGATGGACGCCGTCACCATTGTGGGCCGCCCCAACACGAATTGCAATGACGTATTGATGTCCCAGTGCTGGTTCAGATCTGTGGGCAAGGACATTTCTTGGGTTGTCCAGGCAGCATTGGGCGCATCGGGATACGTCACGGTGGAAGACCTGGCGGATCGCTGGAACACCCCCGCGGCGGCTAGGGAGAATGGTCTCCGAGACCTGGCGTTCCAGGATGATGGATTCAACGCCCAAACCTCGGCTTTCACAGCCATGCGCCTTCTACAGGCAGTCCGGGTGGCGGCACAGCTGTCTCGTGCGTCTTCTCAACTTGTTGGGTTGGTTTAGAGGGTCCCCTTCAAAACACACGCCCATGTGTCGAGTTTCATGGGAGGCGGCCTTTGGCAAGATCACATGCCCCATGATGTTCGATTCTTGGGGATCCATGTCCTCCTTCCGGTTGGAGAACTGACATTTCCTAGCGGGTGGTTGGAAGGGAGCCAAGGTGCTGGGGTTATCCAAGTTTGTCTTTCAAGAGTGAGCTAAGGAGTTACCACAAATCCTGTAAGAAGTGGTAGCCCCGTTTTGTTTGAAAGAAAAACAAAACTCAGTTGCAACCAAAGCGAATCGACCGGATCTGACCTTTTTGTTTTTCAGGTAGTGGGCTTATGACTATGCCCCCCAAGCCCCCCATTCGAATCATTTAGCCCCTTGGAACATTGGTGAAGACCAAATGGTGAAATAAGCATTTCGGCCTGCCTTTTTCTGAATCAGCCCCTTTTGGTTTGGTTCTAACGGGAACCAAAGGAAAAACCGTTGCGCCATTTGGACCCCCCTCCCCCCCGCGTGTCAAACTGGGACCCCAAAACGTGGGATTTCAGTTTGTCTTCAAGCACGCCCAAAGCCGAAGGGTTTCGGGGACGATGTTCCTTTTCGAGAGGCAGCCTGCGCACTCACAAGTGGAGGGTAACCGGGTGCAAAAACGCGCATCAATCTCGTCCTTGCCGAATGGAAGCCAACATGGGATGGAGATTTGTTGATTGGGCCCCAATGTTTACCTTTTTTTTCCACAGTCTTAGCTCACGGCTTGGAAGACTGCGCTTCTGTAAAAAAAAGGCAGGATGTGCGCTTCCATGAGTGTTACATAGAAAAGGGCTCAAATCAAAGAGGGACTGTTTGCTCCTATAGTCATGGCTAAACTTGTTTTTTTGAGATACCCCCCACACACACCCCACACCCATTGAAACCACGTTTGGCAGGCCTTTGGCTCTCACTTGCCGAGCTGCGCTTTGAGCCGGCGTTGATCCACGATTTTTCTTGTTTTCGCTCGTTGCAACAAGCAGGAAAACCATTGAACCAACAGACAAATCGCAGTTTTTGTTTGTTTGTTTGTTTGTTTGTTTCTTTGTTTGTTTGTTTGTTTGTTTGTTTGTTTATTTTTCTTAGTTGCCCGGGCGTCAACGAAAACAATCGGATCACCTTTCAACACTGGCATTTTCCCCGTTGGCTAGCAGCACACATGCCCAAAAATCAGCCGGCAGCCCGGGTTTGTAAAGACGGCTACACTTTGTCAGACTGGACGTGATCCAAAGAAACCTAAAGCAGGATAGTTATCTTTAGAGTGCCTTGATGAAATCCATAAAATCAAAACAACAACAACCACGCAACAAAACACCACCCACCTTGAACAAAACAACCACCACCAGCCAACCGCCTTACATCACACCCGCCGAGCCCGCCGACCGGCCGCTCCCTCCGCGCCTTTCGCGCGCCATGGGATGACGGCGCTGTGCCTCGGGGGGCTGCTGCACACCTTGCCGGAGCGCTGGCTCATCGGAATCGATGTGACGGTTTCCCTTTGCTTCCCTAGGTGCCCCTAGGGGCCCTTTCTCACCGTTTCTTTTTTGGGGGAGGTTCGGTTCCCCTAGTAAAGTAGACTACAGAAAAGAGGGTTCCCCATCCACTTAGTTGTTTTTTGCATTTTACGTGGTTGTTGCTGGGAAACAGTTTTACGTTTTGGCTTATTGTGGTTTAGTGGCAAATCCCCACTTAACTGCTAAAATTTGAATTTTTGCTCCCCTTCCAACGTCCTCCAAGTTGCTTCCCCTTGCTAAAACGGTTCTGCACAAGTTGTTGTTGCTTTTGGTTCGTTGTTGGGTTTGGGGGGCTTGTAAAAGTTCGTGACGACTGTTTTTGAAAGCTGGGTGTTTTGTTTTCTGTTGGTTCTTGGGTTTGGAAAAAAAAGTCCAGAAAAAGGATACCCCCCAAAAAAAGGCGACCACCCAAGTGTCGTTGTGTTTGAAGTGTTACTGTGGATGGACGAAATCCTGCACCACCTGCTAAGACTCCCCTTTTAACAGAAACCAATGGTCTCCCAAGGTTTTGTGTTTGTTCTCGAGTTGGTGTTGCTTGTTTTGCTTTTCAACGGTTGTTTGCTTTTCAACGGTTGGCTCTAAAGGGAAAACACGCCATTTGTGGAGGCCAAATGTGGGATGATGTGTTCTTCCCAGGTCGTGAGATATCAAGAAGGGTTTTCTTTTTTGAGTCTAACCCACACAAAGAAAACCATGTGTCTATAACCTTCAAAGGGCGCTGACTCGGGATGTTTTTTCACCGAACTTCCAAACCACCAAACTAAACCACCAACAAATCCGGGGCCGTTTCGGGAAGCTGCGCCACTCGGCGCCAAAATGGCCACGGGTCAACATCCAAATCGTACCCCCAGAGCATCCGACTCAATCCCCACTACCAAAATGGCCACGGGTCAACATCCAAATCGTACCCCCAGAGCATCCGACTCAATCCCCACTATAGGTTCCAAAATGGGTGGCGAATTCACCTAATCCAACCAAAAATGGGATCCCATAGGTTTTGAACAACTGCACGTATGAGTTTTAGTCAGAAAAAACCTTTGGTGGACAAATTTGGGTTGGGATTGGTGTCCTCCAGCCATTTGGTTTTGCCCCACGCCCAAATCGGCCAATCGCCTCGCTCGCAGGAGACGGCGCCCTCCATCGAGCAGAACTTGGCGCGGCCTTTGGGCGCCGACGTCTTCGTCACCGGACCCCTGGCCGGCGCTCGGTCCTGGCTGCCAGGCGCACGGCGAAGACGCCGCCCGGGGAAAAGGAGCCAAAGCCACGGGAAAGATCCAAAGAAACTCTGGAGATCCCTGATTCTTCTTTCAGGTAGTTGGAGATAATGGAAAATGTGCAGAATGGTTGCCCCTGTTTGTCTCAAAGATGGGGGGAACAAACAGGTTTCCAATCATCAGCCAGTTAGACATGCCTCCATTTTGCTTGTTGGCTACCGTACCAAGGGTTGTGAAGGGTCACTTTCTCCGCCTGACTCCGCCTCCCGACTCCATTTTTTCTAGTCGAGCCTCGCGAGGGCTCCTGCACTTCAGCGGCCTCAAAGCGGTCCGAATCGAGCAGGAGAATGTCACGGAAGCGCTGTACAGCACCCCGGCGAGATCTTGTAAAGGGCGTGCGCGGTTCCTCTAGGACTCGGAATCGGACAGCCCAACATGTTGTTGGATTTCGAGGGTTTTGTTGAGCGTGTGGTTTCTGCTTTCCCTTTGAAACCACCAAAAGGGTCTTCCCAAAAGAAGGCACACCCTGCCCAACAATTACAATCTAAGAAAGCTCCAGGAACACTTCTCCGCGTACCCTCCCTCAGCAGGACGACGGCAGGGCATGTTGTCAGCCATCTCACTCATTTGACTGACAGTTGTCGTCTCCCAAGTTTGCCAAGTACCCTCAAAACAAGAAAACGTTGGAGTTGGTTAACTCATTTTTCCAATCCCGTCCTTTTTGACTTTTTTGCAGCCACGGCCCCAAAAGGCTAACCTTTGGGCAACTGTGTAGGGGTCCCACGATTTGGATCTTTGGCCCTTCTGGATCCGTCAGGCTCCGACAGCCCGTGGCTGAATCTGGCGCTGCAGATTGCGGGAAACTGGCGACTCGGCCGTTGATTCTGGGGCGCTTCTCCAACCCATTGGTTGCCTTTTGGTGGTTTGGATTGGTTGGGGATCTGAACCCCTGGTGTCTGTAGAGGGAAACCTGTAAGGATACATTTTACATTTACGACAAATTTACGAGTGACTCAAAGGGAAGCAAACAATAGAATATACATTTTAGAACTGGTTGCCTAAGTCTAATCATGTGGTGTTTGTAGAGGGAAACCTGTAGGAATCATGCCGCCCTGGATGGCGATGGCAGGCCATTC